TACGAACTGAGACGTTTCAAGCTTTAATTAGGCAATTTTCATGTGATTGGAAGGTATCGAAGGAGTCACCGTTGGTAATCAGTGCAAGTCGCGCCCAGGTCAAACCTCATACTTGTGATTTCCATTTGAAGAGCGCATTGGACTGTAGGAAATTCAATGTTTATCAACACAAATGTCGCACATGCGCAGCGCGACGACTCCGCACTTTAATGTCATTTTAAAGGAATGATACATATAATCAGCACGTGACTGTCAATCATCCTCATCAATTCCGCGATTTTAGTATATGAAGACAATTTGAAATAATTAATCTTCAATTTTGGGATAATTACATAAAAGAAAGATTCATTCACTTCTTTCAATTGTTGTCTGTAGGTTTCTGTCGGCAATGACAACGCGATAACATACACCTGTGAGTGCGGAGATACGAATGGTAAATATAAGAATTGGCAGGAGAACAAATATAATTATAAAAGCAAAACCACGTTCATTTATTAGGGAATAGCCATAATAATTACACCAACATAATCCCGAAATGTAGCTTACAATTACGTGAAGGAAATATATTTTGCACTTCCTTCCCCATGTTTATAATGGTCGATCCCTAATCACGAAAGATATAAATAGTGGAAAGTGAAACCACTTAAAGCGTCATTGCATCGCCTGAACAACAACCACGCTTTCTTTAATGTATGTGTTTTTCCTGTTGACTTTGTCGGCATTGACTTGGCAGTACGCATTGTCGTATCCACAATAGATACTGGATGCAGAGGGCAGGAGTTCATGACGCAGGCGTGTTTGGGCTTATATGTCAGGACTTTATTTAATAAATATGCTTACGTCGAAAGGTGTGTAAACATTGCCGTTATTCGGCGGAGCCGAAGTACAGCACAGTGAAAGGAAAGGGGAAAAGTGATCGCCCAACCTTCAGAAGATTTGGGCGAACGGAGCGTAAGTAGAGCGTCAGTTGATCCCCCCTTTTGCGCGTCCAGACATAGCTTCCCGTTGTTCAAACTGGGAATTCCACGGATAAGGACTAACTCAACGGATTGCTTGCATGCTGGTCAGTGATCTAGGGAAGTACAAGGCAGTTACAAGAAGGTGAATGTAAAAGTGGTTAGTACAATCACAGTCCCTCCACAAAGGGAGGGACTGTGGTACAATTCACTCACAATTAGCTCAAATCGTCATGAGTGGAAAGTAACCTTGTAATAATATGCATATGAATAGACTGTTTCTATTCACGATGAGAGAATGAAAATCAGTCGATGCGCATGTTAGTGGGACCTCGATCGTATGAAGAATATACGACAGTATTTCATGTTTGATTTAATGTAAGTCACGGTCGGGTTTGCGCATCCATAACCCCCTGGAATACTACTCTTCTATAGTTTTACCCGTTAACTCCCATTTATGTGACATAACGCTGGCAGTTGTAAGATATAACCGAAAGCTGTGTTAATTGCTTGTTGGTGTTTACCGGCGTTGCCATGGCATGTCCTCCATGTTGGATTTCTTTCAATGAATTGTTTAATTGGTAACGCCTGAACAATGTAACGTGTACGAGTGTGCACCAAGTAGTGCAATTAAAAAGACGTGAATCAAAGGTAATGGATTGAACAAAGCCGTTTACGCGGGGAGATTACGTGGGTGAAATGGCGGTGACGTATCTCAGCTAATTGCCTAGTCGAGTGGGCGTTCACTCTCAGCGACAACGTACGCTGTTGTGCTAGATTAAGGTTACTAACACCGGTAGGAAATCAGAAATAAGAATTCCTGTTTTACTTACAATAAAACAAATAAATAAACAGTAGTGTAAAAACGATAATATATTTATTTGGTTGGTGTAATTTTTCCTACACATGGCCAGGAAAACTAAGAAATACACAGTCATAGTAATGATCAACATAATCAAATCAACTTCAAAACAAAGCTATAAGATCAATTCATTCTCATTTTTAACGAGGTGGTATGGTTATCTCTCAGGGTTTTTTTTATATATGTTCAGTAAAACCGATTAGGATATGATTATAATATTTAGTTTTAATAATTTTTTATTAAAATATATCTTATTGAATATCAATGTGAATATCATCATATATTGAAGTTCTTGGCTTTCTCTGACTGCGGGCGAGTAAATAATAAATTAAAATAAAATGAAATATATGAAATAAATAAGTATTTTTAAAAATGGGAATAAAATAAAAATAATTAAAAAATTATCTTCGATATTTAATATTGATGTACACATCGAGTTTTGAGTTGATGATACGTACCAGTAATTCGGCATGCATGCGTACTTTCCTAGTTCATAACTTAGTGTTGATATCAATTTTATCAATTTTCATATTCTGAATGGCCGCCGTTTTGGTATACTTCTCTATATGATGAGACATGACCTGGTTTCCATGACAACGGTACCGGACACTCTTTATTTGTTGCGGAAAACTGTATAAAAAATATATTTTCTATTAATAACTCGAGAGAAAAAAACTCACTAATAATCGTGTAACAGTTAAATTTAAGTTAGCTTCCACTTCTGATCATGATTTTCCCAGATTGCCCCATTTTAAACAAACTTTCATAGATACCTCGTAATAATCCATTTTGCAGATTATCTAGCATCTGGTGAACGTATTTGATTCATGGATTCACCAGGTAATACATCATACACACTGAAAGATCATTGTTCGAAGATTGTAACATGTTATAATATTTATATCATTTAACCACGTTATGTTAACTTATTAATTCCTATACTTCATGATTGCACCAATAATGTCTTTGTCTGAGAACTGACTTGTCAAATAAACGTTTATTTAAATTTCCAGAGTAAATAAATCATTGTAACATGGGATGTGGAGCATCAAAGAATCAGATTGAAGTCTTACCGAGAACGTCTACCCCCGCTGCAACAAAGATATCAACAAACGATGCACCACATCAAACTTTACGTACCAGGAGTCTCCAATCACTGAGGGCGGTCGCAACAAAAGGTAAAAGTCACAATTTAAGCGAATTGAGATTTTTGTATACAGTGTAAAGATCTACCTAATCCACTAACATGTCTGTATTTGTCTATTTTGTTTTAAATTATCCTTAAATTGCGGGTTTTGTGGCAGCCAATTTGTAGTCCCTCATTTTCGCTGCGGGTAGGGGCAGATGCGGCTTTGATAAAGTCACGTTCGGGTGGCTCTTGACTGCAACCTCAGTCTCATCCAATATTTGGAGTTCATAATTATTCATAGAGGGCATATTAGCACCAAACACCTACCATGTACTGTTAATAACACAATAGTATGTTTAGTAATTTATTTTTATTTTCTATTCCCATTTCCTTTCCTCGCATGACGATAAAGACGACGAGCTAGTACCAGTAGTTACAAACTCTGACCTTGAGGCAGAAGAAATCGATGATAATCTAGAAGAAGAACTGAGACCAAAATCTGTAGGAACAGTAGACACTGATTCTGAAGATGATGGTCTTCCAATTAGCTCTGTGAGTAATGCATGGTCACAACCTGAATCAGATCGAACCGATCAGGAGACTGGAGAGTCAACGGCTCCTACAGCTCTAAAAGACGATAGCCAAAGAGACGAAGACGCAAAAAATGATTTAGTTACCGACGATTTGATAAATCGAAGTACAGACGCTATTGATGGAGACAACAAAGACGCATTGCTGCCTTTAGATGGGAACTTACAGAAAGAGGAAACAGAAAGTGTGCAGATGGAAACATATAAAGCCACTGGAGCAATAACTGACGATCCCATTCCTGTGGATGTATTTCAAGTAGATCAAGATATGCTGACTGACATAGAGGATGAAAATGTATTAGGAGATGCAGAAAATGAGAATAAAGTGAAAGAAAATAAACCAGGTCTTGAAACTGCTTCTACATTTATAACAGAAGCAATTCCTGAAGACGAAGATGACAATATAGATGATGAAATCAAAATTGATCAATCACCAGATAACACATCAGTAAATGAAGTGGCTAGCTTAGAAGCAGAGGAAGAAGCAGAACAGACAGAAGCAAATGATGATGTTTCAAAAGAGAAAACTAATGAAACGGAAGGGGAGACTAAAGTCATTGAACAATCTTTATTAAATTCCTACCGCGAAGGAGTTAAATTACCAGAAGAACGTGCGAAAGGGATTACTGGTAAGATCAATCGAGCAGCACACTTTGGATTATATTTTTATGCCTCGAATGATTTGAGAAGCAATTGAACTTATCAGAACTCAGCTTTCTTACATCATGTACATTAGGAACGTCTAGTTTTTGTTTTAACCACTTTGAAAACGGTGGATTATATAAATATAGGTCATATATATTTATTCTTTAATTATATTTTTATTAACATCGCATACTCATATTGTTCATTATCTCCTTGTAGACGGCAGTGCTTTCGTTCATGCCAGAGCGTCTGCTAAATGGCCAATTCGCTGCTTTGCTGATCTAACTAAAATCAATGTGAATGCCAAATATGGCGGATGTGCAGCATTATTTCTGGTATCTTGTGCCTATGGAGGCAAAGATGAAAGTACGAGTGAGGTATTTCTTCTCGGATGTGGCTTTGATAGAAACCACTACTACTCGAAAAGCCTCATCCAGATATGGAATGGGCATTTCGGGCCATCAACTGCACTACATACAGACGAAGAAGGTGGCCTGTACTGTGATTGCCTTTTTGGTGATAATTTTATATCTGTTCTTCCGAATGATCCTAGTTACTGTGGCAAAGGGTGTGGTGGTTTGGTTTGCCAAACTGGGGATACGGACGACGAAAGCTTCAACCTCCCATATAACATGATTGAAGACAGAAATGGTGGGACTTCAATGATTCTCTGTAGTGCTGAGCTATCGGGTGCTGGAGAAACTGAGGTTGTTTCGGCGGTATATGTTTTACGTACAGGTCGTCAAAACAAATTTGGCGAACTGGACGACAATAAGATATTTAAGAAGCTGTCTGACAATGGAACTGATAAATGGAAATTTGGGACGAACTCTGGTGGGCAGCTCACTATTGCAGGGCCTAAACGAACTAAAATTGCCATATATCACAACCGCACCGACTGCGGCATAGATCGGCAAGGACAGAGGCCAAATGTGATGCATTTCCAAGCTTACCGGGGAAATGAAGAAACGATAATTCTAGATCAACTACCTAACCATGGATTGGCTTTAGTATTATGTTCAACGAGCCATGGAACCGATAGTGAAACGTCATCAGCACTCTATATGGCTACAATGTCTGAGACTGTCAAGTATGAATTCGTCCAAGGAGTTACGTCCAAGGAATCAGCAGATTTGTGGACAATTTTTGGAAAAGATGGGAGAATGATTATAACCGGACCGTCTTCTCCGTGTAGGTACGGTGTTTTCTGTAACACTCCCTCGCGACAGAGTGAATCCATGCCAGGTAAATATAGCTGCCTAGCAACAGGTAAATCTCAACCAATTAGAGGAAGTATTCACGTTGACATGGAAGCCATTACTGGATGGGTGTCTGACAAATCGGAAGTTCGGATCACAGTTAACGAAGTCATATTTGGAACGTACCAGGCAGATCAGCTCATCCAGACAGAAAATGGAAAATTCGCGTTTCAAAAAACATGGGAAAAGGAAGAATCAAAAGCAGGAATTTATTTAGTTCGTGTATATGCAATAGATACCGACACAGGTAGAGTAAAACAAGTTATCGTTTTATAATAAACCTTAGGTGTAATTGTCTTATTTGCTAATTACCGCTGCGTAATCCTTAATGGCTATTCGTTCTCCCAGATAAATATACATGGACGATGACATTGGCAAATTATCAAATAATGCGACACATTCATTGCAAACCCGATCCCTGAGACGGAACCAAATGAAGATCCTAACAAATGAAGTTAATATATAATATTTTAATCATTTCTGTACATAGATGGTGAAAACAGACTGCTGGAATTGGATGGTTCACCGTTTAGTCTAATACGACAACCAGAACGGGTGACATTTGCCATAAACTGCGGGGGACAAATATACCAAGCATTGAATGGCATAATTTATGAATCCGAACATAGGCATTATGTCAACTACGGAAAAGGTATGTATTGTGCAATACTTCCGAATATTAGCAATAGTGCAGTTAGTGCAGTGTTTAATTTGATGATATGCGTTACGCCTAAATTGCGCCATCTAGTGACGAACCGATTCTGTGACATTAAAATCATGGATGTAAACAATGTCGTTCAACTCTGTTTGTTTATGTAATCTCAATTCTGAGATATTGTTTTTTATTGACGGTTAGATAACGAGTTAATGCAAATCTACTAACAAGATTGTGAATAATTGGCCACCCAACCCTGAAACCTGGCGGATACAATCAGTATCCACGCTGTAAAGGCCACATTTACATCCATTTACATCCAAGTATTTCGATGCTAGAGCGTGTGATTTATTGGAACGACGCAACATGGACAAAGCTAAACTGTGAATCAACTTCCCTCGATTATGGAAAATATTAATCCTTCACCGCCAAATTCTACTTTAGTCAGATTCAGTAAAATAAACTCCCATAATTTCTAGCCAATTGAAAAATTATGTCAATTTGTTCCAGCAACAAAAAATATGTCGTTAGTGTGTTTCGCGATGTTGGCCCTTTTTCTTTTATTTCACTGTATATTTATTATTTCTTGCAGGGCCATCTTGTAAAGCCCTTGGTGGTGTAAAATATCCGGCAGTGCTGTTCCAACAATTGAACAACACACATGACGGGTTCCTATACGGTTCCTCTAGGTCAACGGGCGTGGAAGCAGACGATGAAAAGCATATTCTTTACGAGGTAATGTAATCTCTTTACGATGATCTAGTTGACAAAATTAACCATCGCGTATAACGAGCAAGGCATTCATAGTTACACAATTCCATATTATGAACCACAAGCCGCCATTTTTTGTTTTTTTGTTTTTTTTTCTTTTGTTTCACAATTTCGCTCATTCATGATGAAACCACAGTCCCTCTATCCCCGGTCTGGAAACGACTAGCGTTCTTTTGTCTCGAACCGCAGTGCGGGTAAACAAACCGTCCACACGCGGGCCGAGGAAGTCAGGAAGTCAGACAGATTACAATACCTTCAAAAGTTACCGTCATGCAAAGCGATACCTCATTGTATGACTTCACTTTGACTTCAAATTCGGGCAACCACAACGTAAACAAACATGTAAACAAAATTATCACTATGAAATTTGGGTTTTTTGAACCCTGATGCGCATCACAACCAGCCTACCAACTCATAAACATCCAGTTCCTGCATTTCAAAGATTAATATCGGGAATTATGTTCATTTTATCGTTTTAATAGGAACAAAC